ACAAGCCTACGAGCAAGACTGGGACTGGATATCTGGCATGCTAGAAAACTGGAGAAGTCTGACACGCCTGACAAAGAGCATCAGCCAATGAGAGGCGGGATACGTCCCACGTCAGCACGCAGGAGGACGGAAGAAATATGAGGACAAGCCGCGACTTTGGGCTTGTTTCTAAAGTGGAGTTGCTTAATTGGGCTTGCTCTCTAAACGTCACCTTCCTCTATATATATCCGTCACTTCTTTTGGACTTGTTTCCATAGCCCTGGTTGCTTGTTTCTCTCCCAAGATCTGGCAACACTGACAAGCCGGCAAGCAACAACAACAATGGCGGAGTCCACAGGATCACGGGGAGCACGTTGTGTTTGGACCCAGGATAATAAAGAATATCCATGACTTTACGATGTGTCGTCTCCAAGTTTGGTGACATCACCACGCTATCTGGGGTTCTGTCGGCGAGGACTCGGTGGAGAAATCTTGTGGTGTGCACACACAGGTCGTAGCGCAGTTGGCGAGACTCTGCTGACAGAAACACACGTCGCCAGCTATGAACACTCAAAAGATTACGATAGTCTCCGTGACGCAAAATCATGGTGGAAATCTTGTAATGTGAACTAGACTTTAGACACAAAATTATGCGAAAATAGGGCCCAGGTTGAAAAATACCAATGTTACCCTCTCAGTTAGTGAACATTAGCTGCTATAAACTACAGTACTGGACATACCAGACCAAGTAAAGATGCTATTTATGAAATTAACTTTTCATTTATAAAAGGAAAATTAGATTATTTCTTCCTTTGAAAAGTTTGTCTAACCTCAGGTGCTAATCACATCATCCTTTTTGTACTGTAAGAAAAATTCTTAATATGTTTAATTGTTTTTAATATATTAGTTAGTGGTTGCTGATTGATTGTGACGGCAGACCCAGACGTACTCCCTTGCGCTTGAAATAGAGAAACTTTTAAAAGAATGACTTATTATTGCCACTGATTGTCTTTAATTGTCATGTCAAGCCCCCCATAAAACTATAATGTTAATTTCTCCAGCTCTGCGTTACCAGAAGAATACATCAGTTTAACGCTGTGTAAACTTCATCTCCTCCATATGCATACAATCTGCTGTAACTGTCAGTAGAATGCTAATAAGAGCTGGGTCAATTAGTATTTTTTACGTGATACTGTTTTTCTTCCTTTAAAGCTGTTGACTGGGAACATATTGATATGGAAACAGCCTTGGGGCAGTCTGCTCTACAGATAGAGACGAGAACTGAGCTGCTTACAGCACTCTGACCTCTTGGCTACGATTCCACTTTATCAAATTGTTGCTCGGAGCACCAGATGACTGGAGTTCACCACTTGAGGGCAAATCAGATTTACTGTCTGACTGTGAGTTGGGAATCACAGTACAGAAAAGTGAAGGGATTCAGAATGCTTCCAGTGCGTGGACCTATACAGTACATGATGTAGGAGTGAGCACAATCTTTCAAGGGATCAGTTATCTGCACAATTCAATTCAGCTAATGTGAGCTGGATATGAATTTTTCATAACAGGAAGGTTCTCAGACTATTATTTCATTAAATCAAATTAACAGAAAACTGAGGCAGATGGTAGAAAATTCAGTGCAATACTGATCAGTTAACTAAATTCTTAGGATGTCAGAAAAAATAAAAGAAATGAAAAGTAACTGACAGAACTCTCGGGCAGATTAAAGACGTTGGCAGATGGTTGGCAGCTGGCAATGCGCAAACTTTTTTTTTTTTCTGTCTCATTTTTTCTGGCCTGAAATCCTTAAAATTCTACATTTGGCGTAGAAAAATTCTTATGCAGGAGGAACATAATGTCCAACATGTCCAGATTAACTACCATGAATTCTCAAATAAAAGGTAACATGCAAATACTGACCAGGTAAAAGAGGTCAGGTAATAGTATTTGATAAGGTGTGGAATTACCTTTATGTTTTGTCATTGCTCACATAGGAAATTCAACATAAAGTCAAATTCAACAGCACTTATTCCCTCTGAAGAACAACAGAGTTGCGTCATACTCACCACTCAGCTGCTCTGAGTCTCAGAAATATTGTTTTCAATCACTACATAAGTCCAGTGTCTTCTACTTTTCTGTTTCTTTAAGTTGGTGTTAAGCTGTTGTGAATGAAAGTCAAGACCTTCTGCAGTTATTTCAAATCAAAAGCCTCAAGAAAAAAGGGCATCTGCAATCTGAATAGATGCTCTCAAAAAAGACAGTTTGTTCAGTCCAACAGTACGTCTTTGTCAAGTAGTACTCAAGATATAAAACTAAGGGAGCACTTGATCATCACAGTATAACACCACGTCAGTTAAACTTCAGGGATATCAATCTGTCTATTTAGGAAGCACAAGTGATTGTGAATCAGTTTCACCTGCTTTGATGCAAGTGAAAGTGACAACAGGTGCAATGGAGAGACAAAAGCAAGACAACCTCCGAAAAGGGAGTGGTTTTACATGTGGTGGCCACTGTTGCTCTCTCCTTATCCTTCCTGACTGATTCTTCTGTAGTGTTGTGTCCTTGTCACTACTGGTAGCATGAGGTGGTACCTGCAGCCCAATCAGGTAGCACAGGTAGTCCAGCTCACATCCATACGTGCGGTCGCAAGAAGGTTTCCTGTGTCTCCCAGCACAGTCTCAAGAACATGGAGGAGATAGCAGGAGACCCTCTGTTACATGAGGAGAGCTAGACAGGGCCATAGAAGGGCAAGTATTTGCTCCTTTGTGTGAGGAGAACAGGAGGAGCACTGCCAGAGCCCTACAAAATGACCTCCAGCAGGCTACCGATCCAGGGTCTAGGAGGAGATCCCCCAGGACACCATCCGCCTAATCATCAGGAGCATGCCCACGCATTGTAAGGAGTGCATACAGGCACGCGGGGGCTGTACACACTACAGAATCACATTATGAGTTGCCGTGGTGAAATTAATGCAAGTTGGATCAGCCTGTGATTTCATTTTTTTTTACTTTGATTTTTGGTGCCGTTTGAATCCAGCCGTCTGTGGGTTGATGACTTTGGTTTCCACTGGCTATTGTTACATCTTTTTTTTCTCAACAAATTTAACAATGTACACCAGTTAAGATTTTCAACTTGAATAATTTGTTCATCAAGATCTGATTAATGATTCAAATGTTATTTTTTTGAGCAGTGAATGTTTCAATCCCCAGATTTAGCTGAGGAGTGAGCAATCCTTGCCTTCACTCTGCTCTCTGGTAGACCTATGAGCAGCTGCTGACCCAGACCCAGACCCAGAGTGAGTCTGAGTGAGACGGAGGCAGCCGCCCAGAGCATGAGAAAATTTGCCTGGTCACGCTCCAAAATGACGTTATCTTCTGTCTTCTGCTTGTAAGCAGTCAATTTACAGCTCACAGCAACTGAACACAATACAGTGTCCAGCTTTTGTTTGATAACTAGTGTAGGCACAAAATGCGCTGCCGTTAGCAAAGGTAGCACAAATTAGCTCAAAAGGCTAAATTAGCTTTTTTTTACTATATAATTGTAATGTCAGTCACCCTAAATGTCCCGCCAAACCCCGTGCAAACTCTCAAATTCCCTATATTCAACTAACATATATAGGTTGTACAGCCCGCTGGGTAACCCGTTGAACCCCGACTCATGATAGGGTTTGGGGATTGCAATTATTTTCCATGTACGAGGAATTCCCGGTAGGCGTGGGTCATAAGCTTGTATTGATAAATTCCCTGCCCTTTGTACACACTGGTGGTCACTACCAGTGAACGGATGGTTTAGTTAGTAGAGATGTACCGATACCACTTTTCCCTTCCCAATACCCACTCCGATCCCTGAACCTTAGGTATCTGCCAATACCGAGTACCGATCCAATACCAGCGGGTAAAAAAAAAAAATGGATGGGATATGAATTGTTGTATGTCTCAACTCCCAAAATAAATACATACATAATAATAAAATGAATGCCATAAAACTATTTTTTAATTGTTATTATCCAGTGCTGACACAGATCAGAACACAGGTTAAAGTGCAGCCACACAATTTGGTAAAAAAGACATTTAAAAGGCTACAGTAGAATCCTTTTTAAACTCCTCTCCGTTTCTGTTTCATTTGCCTGTAGCGTGCGTATGCGCAATGACGTGAGGCATTACGTGGTATCGGATTGGTCATAGGCTGTACTCGCCGATACCTGATACCGCATTTTAGGCAGTATTGGAGCATTTCCAATACTGGTATCGGTATCAGTACAACTCTGTTAGTTAGGTCCTTCAATCAGCCTTGACTATCTAGAGGAAGTAAAATTTGAACACAAAACTCTGAATTATGTTTAACTGAAAAAAACAGGTCATCTGTGTATAAAGATGTAGACCTAATGTTAAAAGGTCACAATTGTACTTGTAAATCATCCTTCCGGGACCTTTTGGGACCATCTGTTAAGTGTGCAGATGCACTTTTTAACTTGAGATTGTTTTTGCTTTTTCCCACACACCTGATATCACATGTACACGAAGCATCAAGTCTATTTGAAGTTGAAGCTTTAAATGTACCTGTGCAGGAAGTATAAGTTACACTGATGGTATCATAACCGCAATCAAAAAACTGCAACATGGAAGAGGTTGAAGATAATGAGTAAAAGACAACAGTATTCTGTTACAGAAGAAAAGTTTGACATGACTGTTGTTATACTGGAAGTAGTGATGTGGGACTGTATATTATCCTGGATTCATTGCGACTAAATGTGGGCAGGCGGCAGCATTGACAGCAAACAGCACATCAACAACAAATTAAAACAGATAAGAAAATGGGAGGCTTCTGATTAAAATATGATAAACAGGGGGAGATGTTAACAACGGTCTGTGTCTCACATGAGCCTGTTTCAAAGATTTCCTGGTTCTCCCTGCAGTTGAGGCCAGTATTTGAGAATTTACAATGTATGGGCATTTTAAAGAAGAGAAAACACATCTGGAGAACCCACACAAAAACTGAAAAATAAATGACTTGCAACATCTCACCTTTCTCTTGTTAGTCGGGCAGACGTACAGGTAACTCAGGACGGTCTTGGATCCCACTTTGTCATTCATCCTCTCATACGTGGAGCCGTAGTCAGTAGATCTGAATGAGAGGAAATAAAGGGAAACATTATAGCAGATAAACATGACAAGAAAAACGCAGTGAAAGTTTGCTGACAATCTAATGGGTAAACAAACAGTCTAAAGATTACTGAGACCCGGCACGATTCATGTTAAATGATATTGATTCTGCAGTGATGAAAAAGAATGCAATATTACACCCTACGGTGAAAACAGCAAGCAGATGCAGGCTGGTACTGTACGAATACAGTTACTGTGTGCGAGAGTAAAACCTCTGGCAATAGAACAAGGGAAGGTTAACCAATCATCTATAGCTGCCAACGAAAACGAACCATTCGGAAATGTCTGGGGACCCGGCACCGTAAATAATTAATTCTCTACCGATGACTACTATGAAATAAAATATGACGAGTGCAAAAACGTGGATGTTCCTGAACCCATGGGCTTTAATAATTTAGCAGTGGGAATGAGCCTGTTAGCCAGCCTAGTCCCTAGAAACTCCACATGAATCCATCATCACTAGTAACTACCGAACCTGCCTTCCAGTAGAATATTACAGCATTTACAGGGGCTGTATTGGCATTTTCTTTTTTTCTGTGAAAGCTGCATTCATGCGGCCAGGATTTTCAAATATTTCTCTCAGTGGGGACAGCAGCACCCACCCACAACTGTGACATAACTCCCATTTGGATTCGCAGTCTACTTCACAGTGTTATGAGGAAAGTGAAGATGATACCTATTTCAGTGTTTGTCCTTTTTTTAGTCGAAGCCCGCTGCTTGTGCTCCTTCAGCGGGAATGGGGTTTTGGTGAAATTGCAAAGAGATTTCTCTCATTCAAATTCATTCCAGAATGCCTCTGAGAGACACAGTAGTCGCTATGATCACAAAGCACAATAATGAGTCAGGCAGACGGCATCATTTCCACAGCGTATTCGAGTGGAGGTGTGGGGAGAAGTGCTGCACTGAGAATGATCCTGATTTGAAGCAGGGGCAGTGAACTATACCGTTGGCCTCTGTGTAACACTGTTGGAGCCTCCTGAGAGGAGACTTCATAAATAACATAGAAACATATGTTGTTTTTGGCATGACATGGATGAGCGCAAGGCGTGCCTTCATCATCTAGTCACCATAATGCATATGGTTAGATCTCTTTAATGGAAAGAGGGGATATCTTTGGCGCAGACAGCAGGGAGATGTCAGCACTCAGATGTAAGCCAAGATTAAAGACTCATAATACCTTACACAAGAGAGCTAATCAATATGAGAAGGAAAATGGGTTGCTGTCATTAATGTTACTTGATTTTTACTTGGCGAGGCTAAAATGATGTCTGGTCATGTGAAGTGAGTACCTGACTGTTTTTGTTCTTTGTGTTTCTTATTGTTCTGCTCAGTTGACCAAAAAAAAAGTGATTCACAAAACAAAAAGTAAATACTAGGGCTGCCCCCTAATAGTCGACCAAACGTTAGTCGACTATAAAGGTCTTTAGTCGGCAAAATGTCATTGGTCGCTTAATTGCACAAAATTAATTCTTGAAAAAATAAATTAAAAAAACAAGCAAACATGAAACTATCAGCAGCTGCATCTCGTCAAACAAAACCTATATGACTGGACCATGTGGGAATTTTAATTTGAAAGGACAGACACAGGAAGTGGTCACGCTCAGCAGTCAGACAGGAGTCATGTTACAAACCAGTCACAGCCAACAGATATCTTTCCCTTCTTCTGTAAATATTCAGTCTGATAAATACGGAAAAGTTGATTATGTTAGTGCAGGGCTACCCAGAGTTTTACATCTGTCCCACGGACAGTAGGCTTCCACACTTATAAACAGCACCTGGAAGAAGATCAGCTCTGCACTCAGGATTTCAGGTGAGTAGGCTACACGATGCTTGGCAACCTTAGATGCAACCTGCCGCCATTGAAACCTGGCACAAAAAAGGCACAAGAGTAGCGCCTAGCGCTGGACCTCACGTTTTCCAGGTGGTTAAAGACGCAGCATGTGTATGGCCCCTAATTTCCAGGGCTGGTACCTGCGGTTATTCCACAGGCTAGTTAATAACATGTCGGGCAGGAAATCCAAAGTGTGGGGTCATTTTGAGAAGGTGAAGGACGAACCCAAGGTGATATGTAAACTCATCTTCATTGGTCGACTACAAACATGACGTATCATCTGAAACATGGAAGTAGCTACATGCCCATTAGCCATTTAGCACAATCATTAATGCTTTGCCCACAGCGTCATTAACAGGCGGCTCGCTCAGTGTGTGACGTGCACTTGTAGATAAAATATAGGCCTATATTAATGAAGGTTCATTAGTACGGTTTGTATTTCTCTGTAATGTAGCACAGTGTTAACAATGTTACTGATACTATTCTTTCTCACACCTTCAACTCAAACCATTGTGTTGCCCCGCCCAAAATATATCATTTAATAATTAAATTAATATCGTAAACATGCAGGTGACTAGTCAACTAATGGCCCTAAATGACGACTATTGGTGGACTAGGACAATTCTTAGTCAGGGGCAGCCCTAGTATATACTTACTCAATATAAATTCATCACCTGCACACAGTTTAATTCAGTACAATACAATAGTCCTGTAGTAAATATCACATTCTGATGCAGACAATATTCTTATAATATTCAGTGTAAGAGGATAAGTCTCCGTGAAATGGAAGTCAGAGCGTCTTTAGCTTCTGTTGTGTCACATATTTCCCACTGAAACTGAATAAATGAGCGGTGTACAGCTACAAGAGGAACTTAAATCAAATTCTCTGCATTTGATTGGATCGTGCCTGTTGACTCCACACGCACCTCTACCGTTGGATCAGGAAGAGTAGGAGGGAGAGATGAATGAATTAGACCTCTGCCACATTGTTTTGGAAATGAAAACAAAGGTTTAGCCCACTGATATCCAAACAAACATCTCCTCCTATCCCTCTTGATACTGCTGTGATTAGCTTCTGTAACCCACAAACCGTGAAGTGTGGTTTTATGACTGATTTGGCGAGTCCTGTTTGATAGGATGAGTTTTTGTAAACACTCCTGAGTGTAGGATGAGTCATCAAACATTTAAAACTGTTTAAACTGGTTTTACAGAAAGAGAAAAGAGATGGATTAGGATTAGAGATATGTAATCAATAAACACAGGGCAACAGGATTAAAACTGGGCAAATGTAATTTTAATTTCAGGTGGACTTTACAGTGTTGAGCTCCAGGGTTATCTACTCACTGTACAGCTAAGAACACATCTGTAAATTAAATTCACGACTTTACATAAAAGCCCAATCGATGTCAATTATCAACTATAATGCCTGATAAATAGAATTAAGTTTCCCACAATCAAATTTAGACAAACTGAGCGTCTTTGTTACGGGCTTAGAGAGCGTTCAAAGCCAAATGTGGCCTGCCCTTGTCCCTCTAATCAAGTTAAGTCTTCAGGAACTGACAAGCCCAATTTGACCTGAGCTGTACTTTTAAGCATTCTCATTGATGCAGAGAGGATTATCCATGCTAATATTTCATCGTACATTAATTACTGCAGTGCCTTGTTTCAATAAAAAAGGCCTAATGCTTCTTTTGTCTTTAAAAAACATGCAATACAGGCTCTGAACGTGAAGTTAAAGATGGCGGCACACTTACTTGTATTAAGTTTAAGTTCAGATTTTACCGATTATTCTAAGGACTATGGATTCTAGTTTTGAATTATATTAGGATGTGAAAATTCACTTCTGCAAATGCCCTGTCCTCTGTATCCGTCTGTCCACACATGGCATCAGAAAAAGTCCTATTAGTGTAAAAAACCCTGTCTTAAACTTCTGCATGGCAACAAGAATAGGCAGGATGTAACATTTATTTTGGCTGATATCCAGTCAGACAGGAAGCTGTCTGGAGAGAGGCATTTCTGCCTATTTGCTCGCTGCAAAAAAAGAGATGCCGGTTTGGTGTGACTGCTGTGTGAAACCTGTCATTATCTCACAGCAGAGCGTACAGTTTTGGGGTTTGATTCTCTCAGCCTTACGAGCTCTATTTGAGAGTGAAGCTTTAGTGGAATAATATGATGGTTCCTTATTTTAGCCCTGTTCCTACGAACACCGACAGAGCTTTCTAGCCCAGCATGGATTTACGTCTACGTGTTCTGGTTCCAATGTCGAGAGTAATGTGTCCTTTATGTACAGAGGTGGAAATTAAGGGCAGTCTGGAAGGGTGGGATTGGTGGGAATGAAATACGTCAGACTATCCTGCAGGAGGCTGTAGTTTACGTCCCATCACAGACCTCTAATTAACGTAAGAGCATAAAAAACAGTTAAAAAGAAAACAATAAAACATGAGCAACAGCAGACCTTAAAAACATACAATATCCCAAACACTAGACAGAGCCAGTTGAGACAAAGGCTAATTTGAATAAGTACATCTTCAGCTGCTTTTTAAAGGCGTCAGTGGAGACCGCACGTCTCAACTCAATCGCAAGAGCAAATGTTGGCATAGTACGTTTCTGGAAACGACAGATATGTTTTCAGTTGGATGCAGTGCATCAACATATGCCAACATTTTCTCCTGGCGATTGAGCTGTATGTCTATAGGAGGAGTGTTCCACAGTGTCGCGGCCGCCACTTCAAAGGAACAATCACCATTTGTTTGCAGTCACGAGGGACAACCAATAAGCCCTGGTGAGAAGACTTAAGTGACCTACTGGTGATATAAGAATGCAGGTCAGAGCGCATGACCATGCAGGGCTCGATTTCTTTTCATATACATCCTGAATTTAAAGGAAGGCACTGTATAAAACATAAAATGGGTGTGATGTGAATTGTCCTGCTGGACCTGGTCAACAGCACTGCAGCAGCACTATGGACCAATTGTACAGTCCAGGGATGACTTGCAAAGGCAGGGCCAGAGTGAAGTAAACATTAATTACTAAATGACTTTAAGGTCCAGTGTGGAAGATTCAGGGGGATTTAGTCGTGTCTAGCAGTGAGGATTGCAGATTGTAACCAGTTGAAACTTCAGAGTAGAATT